CTACCATGCCCGGCTGATTTTTTGATTTATTGTAGAGATGAGTTCTCGCTGCCCAGGTGGGTCTCGAACCCGCGGGCTCAGGCAATCCACTCACCTCCGCCTCCCAAAGGCGCGGGATTACAGGCTGAGCCACCGAGCCCAGCTGTAAAATTAATTTTGAAGGAAATGGAAGAAAATCATCCTGGTGATGGATGTGGGTTGTCGGTCTTTACTTTTCTATGCTAGCATTTGAATCAGAAGATAAACTAAAATATGTTAAGCATATAGAAAATCAAATAAACCACTGCCCACCCTGTCAAATCTACACTTTTTTGCCTAATTTGCTTCAAGTCTATTATTTTTAGAACAAAATATTAGAAATTACTGAAGACTTCTTTTGTACTGCTCCTATATTCTGTTTCTATTCTTTTCTCCCCAAAAGTAAGCATAATCCTGAATTTGGTGTTTATAATTTTCATGTATTTCTTTACTGTTGCTACATGTTTATGTATGTATAGCCACAAACAATGTATAGTTTTATTTTATATATCTTTTAAATATTATATAAATGATATTGCACCATAAATAACTAAAACTTCATTTATCATGATTCTTTTTTTGAATCTCACTCTGTTGCCCAGGCTGGAGTTCAGTGCCACGCTCATGGCCACCACAGTCTCGACCTGCTGGCCTCAGACGATCCTTCCACCTTAGCCTTCCAAGTAGCTGGAACTACAGGCATGCACCACCACACCCAGCTAATTTTTTGATATATTGTAGAGACAAGGTCTTGCCAAGTTGCCCAGGCTAGTCTTGAACCCTTGAGCTCAGGCAATCCTCTCGCTTCCAGAGTGCTGGGATTACAGGCGTGAGCCACTGCGCCTGGTAATAATATATTTTAAATATGATTAGAACTTTAACTTCATTCATGTGAGTACCCCCTGTTTACCAGGCTCGTGACTACCACAGCCTTGACCTGCGGGGCTTAGGCGATCCTTCCGCCTCAGCCTTCCAAGTAGTTGAAACTACAGATGCACGCCACCATGACCGGATATTTTTTGATTTATTGTAGAGACAAGGTCTTGTCAAGTTGTCCAGACTGGTCTTGAATCCCTGGGCTCAGGCAATCCTCCTACCTCTGTCTCCCAAAGTACTAGGATGAACCAACATTTTTAAACCATCCCCCCACCCCACTTTTTAACTTTTTTTTTTGAATCAGAGTCTCACTCTGTCACCTAGGCTGGAGTGCAGTGGCACACTTACCACCACCCCAGCGTTGACCTGCTTGGCTCTGGCAAGCCTTCCACCTCAGTCTTCCAAATAGCCAGAACTGCAGGCACGTGCTACCATACCTTGCTAATTTTTTATCTGTTGTAAAGACAAGGTCTCGCCAAGTTGCCTGAACTGGTCTTGAACCTGCAGACTCAGGCAATCCATTCACTTTGGCCTCCCAAAGTGCTGGAATTACAGGCTGAGCCACCGAGCCTGGTCTAATTTTGATCTGTTGTAGATACAAGGTCTCGCCAAGGTGCCGGGGCTGGTTGGAACCCGTGGGCTCAGTCATTCCACCCGCCTCAGCCTCCCAAAGTGCTGGAATTATAGTCTGAGCCACCGAGCCTGGCCAGGTTTTAAATTTTTAAAACTTTTTGACTCTTTCATAATAACACTTAACCTAAAATATACATTTGCCTTTGTGTGGTGGCATGTGGTTGTAACTTGAGCCTAGGAGTTTGAGGCTGCAGTGAGCTATGATCATGCCTGTGAATAGCCGTTGCAATCCAGACTGGGCCATAGAGTGAGGCCCTGTCTCTAAAGAACAAAACAAAAGACCACAAACACACTGTTATACAAAATATTTTATCGTTATATCCTTGTCCTATAAACATTTTTCAGTTTTTTCTTTTAATTTCTTTATTTTTACTTCAAAACCTTTTTTTGTTAAAAACTAAGACATGAGCACACTTTTACCTAGGCCTACACTCCTAAACCTACACAAGGCTGGAGTTGTCAAATCAATATCTTCTGTCTCCATGTCTTGTCCCATCTGAAGGTCTTCAGGGGCGGTAACACTCATTGAACTGTTATCTCCTATGATAACAATACCTTCTTCAGGAATACCTCCTAAGAGACTGCCTGAAACTGTGTTGCAGTTAACTTTTTAAATTTTTTATTATTTATTTTTAGATTTTAAAATATAGTTTATTTAGAAAGTTGATTAGAGCAAAAGAGAGAAAAGGTAGATCCACTTCCCCTAGATTGGGGAAGGGGCCAGAGCTTATAGAAAAGTATGATCCTAACCTTTTTTTTTTTTTAGTAAGTGGGAGGACTTACTTCATTGTTACGTTCTAAACAATGAAATATATAGTGTAGTCAGGCATGGTGTCTCACGCCTGTAATCCCAGCAATTTGGGAGACTGAGGTGAAAGGATTGCCTGAGCCCACGGGTTCGAGACCAGCCTGGACAACTTGTGAGACCTCGTCTCTACAATAGTCAAACAATTAGCTGAGCATGGTGGCATATGCCTGTGGTTCCAGCTACTTGGAAGGCTGCGGCAGAAGGATCGCCTGATCCCAGTAGGTGGAGGCTGCGATGGACGTGAGCGTGCCTTTGCACTCCAGCCTGGGCGACAGAGGGAGACTCCAACTCAAAATAAAGGGGGGGAATGGTTTAAAAACATTAACTCATCCCAGCACTTTGAGAGGCAGAGGTGAGAGGATTGCCTGTGCCCAGGGATTCAAGACCAGCCTGGACAACTTGGCAAAACCTAGTCTCTACAATAAATGAAAAAATTATCCAGGTGTGATGGCACACGCCTGTATTTTCACCTACTTGAAAGGCTGAGGCGGAAGGATCCCCTGAGCCCAGCAGGTTGAGGCTGGGTGTGCCACTGTACTTCAGCCTGGGCAAGAGTGAGGCTCCTACTAAAAAAAAAAAAAAAAAAAAAAAGAATAGTATAGTAAATATATAAACCAGTAACAGTATATTGTCGTTTTCAAGTATTATGTGCTGTACATAATTGTATGTGATACACTTTTTTTTGTTAGAGTCTCACTCTGTTGCTCAGACTGGAGTACAGCGGCTTGCTCACAGCCACCACAGCCTCAGACCGCTGGGCTCAGGCAGTCCTTTGCCTCAGCCTTCCAAGCAGCAGGAACTGTAGGTGTGTGCCACCACACTGTTACTTTTTTTAATTTATTTTAAAGATGAGGTCTTGCCCGGGCTGGTCTTGAGGACTTAGGCAATCCTTTCACCTCTGTCACCCAAAGTGCTGGGATTATAGGTGTGAGCCACCATGCCCAGCTGTGATATACTTTTTTTTTTTTTTTTTTTTGAGTTGGGGTCTCACTCTGTCACCCAGTCTGGAGTGCAGTGGCCGCTTCCGGCCACCGCAGCCTCGACCTGCTGGGCTCCAGCGATCCTTCCGCCTCAGCCTTCCAAGTAGCCGGAATTACAGGCATGTGCTACCACGCCCGGCTGATTTTTTGATTTATTGTAGAGATGAGGTCTCGCTGCCCAGGCGGGTCTCGAACCCGCGGGCTCAGGCAATCCACTCACCTCAGCCAACCAAAGGCGCGGGATTACAGGCTGAGCCACCGAGCCTGGCTGTGATACTTTTATATGACTGGTCACGCAGTAGATTTGTTTACTTATACACAAGCATCACCATGAACATACAATGCATTGTGTTGCTGCGGTGTTACCACAACTATGATGTCACTAAGCAATGGGAATTTTTCTTTTTTTTTTCTTTTTGAGTGAAGTCTCACTCTGTTGCTCAGGCTGGAGGGCGGTGGCATGCTCCCAGCCACCGCAGCCTCAACCTGCTAGGCTCCAGTGATCCTTCCGCCTCAGCTTTCCAAGTAGCCAGAACTGCAGGCACACGCTACCACACCCGGCTAAGCATTTTTCAACTCCATTATAATCTTATAGGACCACCGTCATATATGAGTTTCATCATTGACTGAAACCTCATTATGTGGTGCATGACTGTGTTTTTAAAAGAAATGAATTCCTTATCACCAACATGTTGGACCAGATGACCCCTTTAACCTACTTTTTTTTTTTTTCTTTTTGAGTAGGGATCTCACTTTATCTCCCAGGCTAGAGTGTAGTGGCACAATCCTGGCTCACTGTGGCCTTGACCTCTTGGACTCAAGCAATCCTTCCTCCTCAACCTCTCGAGTAGCTGGAACAGGCACATGGCACTATGCCCAGCTAATTTTTGTATTAATTAATTTTTTTTTTTTTTTTTTTCAGAAATGAATCTTGTGTTGCCCAGGCTGGTCTCCAACTCTTGCCTTGGCCTCTCAAATTGCTGGGATTACAGACATGAGCCACTGTGCCCTGCCCCTTTTAAGCTTCTTTAAAGCATTGTGGTTCTGTAACTCATACTTAAGTTTCTGTGTATTGATATGGTACACTTTAAATATAGTAGTCCAATGTGTTAGCATATATGATTTGCAGTTCAACACGAATTGTTCAAAAATGTTTTGAGTTTCTACTGCCAGGCAAGATGATATGCAATGTGTTCTGAGACTGTAACGGTAACAAGACAGACAAGGCTCTTCACCTCCAAGAAAGACATACAGTTGGTTTTTTTTTGGCTTTTTTTTTTTAATCAGAGTTTCACTCTTGTCACCCAGGCTGGGGTGCAGTGGCATGATCACCACAGCCTTGACGTTATGGGCTCAGGTGATTCTTCTGCCTCAGCCTCCTGAGTAACTGGGACTATAGGAATACACCACCACACCTGGCTAATTTTTTTTTTGGAAGTCTCACTCTATTGCCTAGGCTGGAGTGCCGTGGCATACTCATGGCCACCACAGCCTCAACCTGCTAGGCTCAGGTTATCCTTCCACTTCAGCCTTCCAAGTAGCTGGAACTATAAGCTTATGTCACCACACCTGGCTAATTTATTTATTTATTGTAGAGATGAGGTCTCATCAAGTTGCTCAGGCTGGGATTTTTTTCTCTCTCCCTCTCTGCTTCCTCTCCCCCTCCCTCCTCATTTTAATAATGGATATTATATAGATACATTTTCTTTGTTTTTTTTAGTTGGAGTCCCACTAAGTCACCCAGCCTGGAGTGCTGGTCTCAGGCGATACTTACACCTCAGTCTTCAAGTAGCTGGTACTACAGGCACGCGCTACCATACCTGGCTAATTTTTCTATTTATTGTAGAAACAAGGTCTTGCCAAGTTGCCCAGGCTGGTCTCAAACCCCTGGGCTTAGGCAGTCAATCCTCTTGCCTCCACCTACCAGAGTGCTGGGATTACAGGCTTGAGCCACTGCGCCCGGCTATAGATACATTTAGAAAAACATTTAGACATAGTGTCTATAGAAATATTGCTTACATGATCTGAACAAATGTTGAAGTCAAATGAATATGTTAAATAAGTGTTCAACTGGAATACAAGACTACTTATTAAAGACTAATTAAATCTTTTATGATTAAAATTTTGAAATCCTTATCTTTCTATTAGAATCCATTAGGAAGAAGTAAAATATACCCACATCCAATATACTTGATCGGTTTGGTAGTGATACCTAAATAAGGTAATGATATTAGTATCTTGTCATTTTCCTTAGTGTTATTCTTACAGGTAAGTAACTTTGACTTTGCACTGTAGTTGAGAATGACTGCACAAAAAATTTAAATGGAGTTATGTGCTATTACTCATATTAACTTAAATATAATTTTTTAGGTAATTAATGATCCTATCCATGGCCACATTGAGCTCCACCCTCTCCTCATCCGAATCATTGATACACCTCAATTTCAGCGGCTTCGATATATTAAACAGTTGGGAGGTGGTTACTATGTTTTTCCAGGAGCATCACACAATCGATTTGAGCATAGTCTAGGGTAAGAAGGGAACGGTGGGTAATTTGAAACTGTTACATACCTCCTTTGTCTCTTGAAATAATTATCTTGTCTTCATCTTTTAGAGAATAAATACAAAATGATGGTAATATCCTTTTTTTATTGATAAGGAAATTGAGGCTTTTTATTTACCTTGCTGTAGTTCATTTATTTTGTGTATTCTGATAAGCCACCACAGATCTTTCCTGGAAAGATAATGAAAATGAAAGTGTCGGTTGACAGGTCATTTAGATAAAATATTTGTGTTTAAATATTATTTAAAAGGTAATAGAGCTTGTTATTAGTATAACTAACTCTGTAATTCAGTCATTTAATTTTCCTATAGTCTCTGTTTAGTAGTATATAGAATTGCTGTCTGAAATCAGATCATTTTCTTACCTGTCAGGAAATGTGGAAGTCAAAAGTATTTGTATTCTTAAAGACAGTGGTGCCTCTGTTACATACAATTAGGCCAAGACTTTAGTCTGCTTTCTGTTATAAAATGTAGAGCCAGGAGGACATGGACAGGGAAGAATAGAAGGGCTTCCAGATTTTCATGAAGTGTACTTACGGGGGATTACTTTGGTTCTTTGTTTGTGTGTTTAGAACCATTTTTACTTTGAACACAAGGGTCTGTACTCAAAGGTTCATTCAATTCATCAACAGATATTTATTGAGCAGCTGGGTGCAGTGGCTCACACCTGTAATCCCAGCACTTTGGGAGGTGGAGGCGAGAGGATTGCCTGAACTCAGGAATTCGAGACCAGCCTGAGCAAAATGGCAAGACCTCGTCTCTACAATAAATCAAAAAATTAGCCAGGCATGGTGGCGCATGCCTGTGGTTCCAGCTACTTGAAAGGCTGAGGTAGAAGGATCACCTGAGTCCAGCAGGTTGAGGCTGCTACCACTGCCCTTCAGTCTGGGTGACAGAGTGAGACTCTGACTCAAAAACAAACAAAAAACGTATTTATTGAGCACTTAGTAGGCCCTATGAAACCACAAACAAGATAGCAACTGTAAGGCCAGGTGCAGTGGCTCATGCCTGTAATTCCAGCACTTTGGGAGGCTGAGGTGAGAGGATTGCCTTAGCCCACGGGTTTGAGACCAGCCTGGGTAACCTGACGAGACCTTGGCTCTACAATAAATCAAAAAATTAGCCATGAATGGTGGCACATTCCTGTAGTTCCAAGCCACTTGGAAGACTGAGGTGGGAGAATCCCCTGAGCCCAGCAGATTGAGGCTGCAATGACCGTGAGCGTGCCAATGCACTCCAGCCTGGTTGACAGAGTGAGACTGCAACTCAAAAAACAAAAAAAAGATAGCAACTGTAGCTCAGAGTTCAGGGGGAAGAAAGATGTTATATTCATTCAGGAATTACTCTCAGAGGGTAGGGCTGGAAGCACATTTAACATTTGTTAAGTACTTCATCTTTAGGCTGTGTTGAAGCATTACAAAGCCAGAGAGTCAGCCGGGCTCGGTGGCTCAGCCTGTAATCCCGCGCCTTTGGGAGACTGAAGTGAGTGGATTGCCTGAGCCCGCGGGCTCGAGACCCGCCTGGGCAGCGAGACTTCATCTCTACAATAAATCAAAAAAATCAGCCGGGCGTGGTAGCGCATGCCTGTAATTCCGGCTACTCAGAAGGCTGAGGCAGAAGGATCGCCGGAGCCCAGCAGGTTGAGGCTGGGAGCAGGTCACTGCACTCCAGTCTGGGCGACAGAGTGAGACTCCAACTCAAAAAAACAAAACAAAACAAAGCCAGAGAGTCCTGCTTTAAAAAAGACTGATGAAATACACAGAACAAAATTTGTCATTTGAACTATTTTTAAGTGTATGCTTCAATAGTGTTAAATACATTCACAGAACATTTTTATCTTGCAATATGAAAATTCTATATAGCTAATAAGCAATTCCCCATTTCCTCCTTCCCCCACCCCCTAGTAGCTACTGCTCTGCTTTCTGTTTCTATGTATTTCACTGTGCTAGGTACTTCATTTTGTCTTTTTGTGATTGGCTTATTTTACTTTGTGTAGAATGCTCAAAGTTCATCTATGTCGTAACGTGTGTCACAATTTCCTTCCTTTTTTTTTTTAGATCAGAAAATATCACTTAAAAGTAAATTAGAGAAGATTCACCTCCCCAAGGTAGAAAAGGGGGCCAAAACCAAGAAATATGGCCTGGCCATAGCTCAGCAAGCACATGGCTACATTATAGCTTAGCAAGGCAATGGCAAATTTCCTTTCTTTTTAAGGCTGAGTAGTATAGAGCACATTTTGTTTATCCATTCGTCTGTCAGTGGACACTTGGGTTGCTTCCACCTCTGGGTTCTTATAAATAGTGCCAGTGTGAACATGGGTATACAGATGTCTTTCAAGATGCCACTTTTGGTGTTTTGGTCATATTCTCAGAAGTAGAATTGCTAGATCATTATGGGAATTTTTTATTTTTTTGAGTTGGAGTCTCACTCTGTCGCCCAGACTGGAGTGCAGTGGCTGCTCCCGGCTACCGCAGCCTCCACCTGCTAGGCTCCGGCGACCCTTCCACCTCAGCCTTCCACGTAGCCAAAACTATAGGCGCGCGCTACCACGCCCGGCTAATTTTTGATTGATTGTAGAGATGAGGTCTCACCAAGCTGCCCAGGTGGGTCTCGAACCCGCAGGCTCAGGCGCTCCACTCGCCTCGGCCTCCCAAAGTGCTGGGATTACAGGCTGAGTCACCGAGCCTGGTCAGTAATTTTATTTTTAATCTTTTTGTGGAACCACCGTACTGTTTTCCAAGGCAGCTATATCGTTATTCATTCTCACTAACAGTGCACAAGGGTTCTAGTTTCTCCACATCCTGGCCAGTACTCGCTGTTTTCTGTTTTTGGATAGTTACTTTCCTAACAGTAACTACCAAGCCGGTGAGACGTCACATCTCATCGCAGTTTTGGTTTGCGTTTTCCTCGTGATGAGTGATGTTGAGCCAAAGTCCTGCTCTTGGGAGTCTGTTGGTGTGTGTTCCTGCCTACTTTCTGAAACAGACTATTCTGTGAACTTGTCCTGAGATATTACATACTTTTTTAAATTTATTATATTATTATATAGCGTTCTAATATAAGATGAATTAAGAAAAAGTTCTGGGAGACTGGAAGTGCCACTGCCCTTTCAACTTTTGTTTTTGCTCCGCAGGGTTGGGTATCTAGCCGGATGTCTAGTCCGTGCACTGTGTGACAAGCAACCAGAGCTGCATATAAGTGAACGAGACATGCTGTGTGTTCAGATTGCTGGGCTTTGTCATGACCTTGGTAAGCTGCACAAAGAGCCAAAGTTGCTATGTAGAATCATACCCTGTATCACTTCGCTTTGAAGTTGAAAAAGCAGCTCAACCAAGAGAAATATGGAAATTGTGTTTTAGTTCTTCATTGGCATTGATACAGATGTGCCCCTGCTGCTTCTTAGAATGACTCATAAGCACAAAACACGACTGTTTCATTTTCTTGTAGTCTTTCAGTGAATTTCCCGTGTTCAACATCTTTTCTATAAGCTATATGCTATGTGAAAGTTCTGATAGTGGGGTGTTCTTTTTTTTGAGTTGGAGTCTCACTCTGTCACCCAGACTGGAGTGCAGTGGCCACTCTCGGTCACTGCAGCCTCAACCTGCTGGGCTTCAGTGATCCTTCCACCTCAGCCTTCCAAGTAGCTGGAACTACAGCCACGCGCTACCACGCCTGGCTGATTTTGGATTTATTGTAGAGATGAGGTCTCGCCAAGTTGCCCAGGCGTGTCTCGAACCCACGGGCTCAGGCAATTCACTCACCTCAGCCTCCCAAAGGCGCAGGATTACAGGCTGAGCCACCGAACCCGGCTTAATTTTTGATTTATTGTAGAGATGAGTCTCACCAAGTTGCCCAGGCGGGTCTCAAACCTGCAGGCTTACGCAGTCCACTCACCTCAGCCTCCCAGAGCACTGGGATTATAGGCTGAGCCACCGAGCCCGGCTGTGGGGTGTTCTTACTACTGTTTTTAGGATGGTGTCTATTTGATTTTTCTGTCTTTTTTATTGAGCAAAATCATCATTTTCCTCTAGTAACTCTGTCAAGTCCATTTCTTGCATATCTGCATTACCCAATCCACCTTAGACACATTTTGGTTTTTTTGAGTTGGAGTCTCACTCTTGCTGCCCAGGCTAGAGTGCAGCGTCATGTTTATGGTCACCACAGCCTCAACCTGCTGGGTTTGGGTAATCCTTCTGCCTCAGCTTGCCAAGTAGCTCGAACTATAGATGCACGCCACCATGCCCAGCTAGTTTGTGTGTGTGTGTGTGTGTGTGTGTGTGATTTATTGTAGAGACGAGGTTTCCCAGGCTGGGCTCGAACCCCCAGGCTCAGGCAATCCTCTCGCCTTGTCCTCCCAAAGTGCTGGGATTACAGGCTGAGCCACCACACCCAGCCTCTCTAGACACATTTAAAACTCCTTTTCTCACCCATGTGAGGTCTTGGGACACTTTAAGTAAAAGAATATCATCTTTTCCTTTGATAAGGCTCAGTGGCTCAGCCTGTAATCCCATGCTTTGGGAGGCTGAGGTGAGTGGATTGCCTGAGCCCACAGGTTTGAGACTCGCCTGGGCACTTGGCAAGACCTCATCTCTACAATAAATCAAAAATTAACTGGACGTGGTAGCGCGCACCTGTAGTTCCAGCTACTTGAAAGGCTGAGGCGGAAGGATTGCTGGTGGCTGGGAGTGGCCACTGCACTCCAGTCTGGGTGACAGACTGAGACTCCAACTCAAAAAAAAAGAAAAAGATGCTGGGCTCAGTGGCTCAGCCTATAATCCCGTGCCTTTGGGAGGCTGAGGTGAGTGGATTGCCTGAGCCCGCGGGTTCGAGACCCGCCTGGACTGCGAGACCTCATCTCTACAATAAATCCAAAATCAGCCGGGCGTGGTAGTACGCACCTGTAATTCTGGCTACTCGGAAGGCTGAGGCAGAAGGATCACCGGAGCCCAGCAGGTCGAGGCTGCGGTGGCCGGGAGTGGCCACTATACTCCAGTATGGGTGACAGAGTGAGACTCCCACTCAAAAAAAAAAAAGAGAAGGGATTATCCCTTCAAAATCACAGGAGGTTTTACCTCTGTCCTTGTAGTTTATTACTATCTATTCTAGGATCTTGAGAGTTGTCTTTGCCCTCAGGGGAAAGGAGGTATCCCCTGTTTCAATAGCCAGATACCTAAAGGGGGTGGGGGGTACTCTCATGTCCCCCTGGAGATTTCACTAGAACCAATACCACCTCCTAGATGACAGATTCTTGGTACTTTGAGAGAGAATCATTGGGAAACCTTTGCCCATCCCCAGGAGTCTGAGCAATGCAATTATGAGCCTTTAGGTACACACTGTGATATGTGAAGAAGACCTTGGCTGGTCCAAGTGGGCTCCCTCTACAGTCTTATCGCTCACTTCTGGGGAAAAAGCTGACAGTGTCAGGGTTGTGAAACAACAGAATTTCAAATTATAAAATGTTGTGAACTTTAAAATCACTTATGAATAAGAAACTAGTAATTTTCACTCATGGTTGTCCATGTCATCAGTAAAAATGTCAAGATATAGGCCAGGTGCAGTGTCTCATGCCTGTAATCCCAGCACTTTGAGACGCAGAGGCAAGAGGATTGCCTGAGCCCAGGAGTTCAAGACCAGCCTGAGCAACGTGGTGAGACATCATCTCCACAATAAATAAAAAAAATTAGCTGATGATAGTAGTGTGTGTGCACCTGTAATTCTAGTTACTTGGGGAAGTTGAGGCAGAAGGATCGCCTGAACCCAGCAAGTTGAGGCTACCTTGGCCATGATTGAGCCACTGTACTCCAGTCTGGGTGACAGAGTGAAACTCCAATTCAAAAAAAAAAAGTTAAGTTACAGCCCCAATATGTGGGGGGTTTTGGGGGTTTTTTTGAGTTGGAGTCTCACTCCGTTGCCCAGGCCAGAGTATAGCGGCATGTTCACAGTCACCCCAGCATCAATCTGCTGGGCTCTGACAATCCTTCCACCTCAGGCTTCCATGTAGCCAGAACTATAGGCATACACTACCTAACGCCTGGCTAATTTTTGATTTTTTTTTTCTTTTTTTGAGTTGGAGTCTCATTCTGTTGCCTAGGCTGTAGTGCAGTGGCATACACGCTCATGGCTACCCCAGATCAACCTGCTGAGCTCTGGTGATCCTTCCGCCTCAGCCTTCCAAGTAGCTGGAACCACAGATGTGTGCTACCACGCCCGGCTAATTTTTTATTTATTGTAGAGACGAGGTCTTGCCAAGTTGCCCGGGCTGGTTTCAAACCTGCAGGCTCAGGCAATCCATTCATCTCAGCCTCCTAGAGTGCTGGGATTACAGGCTGAGTCACCGAGCCTGGTCTAATTTTTTATTTATTGTAGAAACGAGGTCTCACCAGTTGCCTGGGCTGGTCTCAATCCAGGGGCTCAGGCAATCCACTTGCCTCAGCCTCCCAAAGTACTAGGATTACAGGCTGAGCCACCGAGCCCGGCCCAATATGTGTATATTTTTTATAAAATATGTACATTACAAAACTTACATAAAGATAGACGTTTCTAGCCAGGAGTGGTGGTTCATGCCTGTAATCCCAGCACCTTGGTAGGTGGAGGCGAGAGGATTGCCTGTGTTCATGGGTTTGAGACCAGCCTGGACTTGGCGAAACCTCATCTCTACAATAAAATTAAAAAATTAGCCAGGTGTGGTGGTGCATGCCTGTGATTCCAGCTACTTGGAAGGCTGAGGTAGAAGGATCACCTGAGCCCAGCAGGTTGAGGCTATGGTGGCTGTGAGCGTGCCACTGTACTCCAGCCTGGGCAACAAGAGTGAGACCCCCAAGCTGGGCTCGGTGGCTCAGCCTGTAATCCCACGCCTTGGGAGGCTGAGGTGAGTGGATTGCCTGAGCCCGCGGGTTCGAGACCCTCCTGGG